TATCACAATCTTCCTTTTCCCCGCTTACCATTTACCATGCCCTAATGATGAATTGACGAGTTGTACATAGTCTCATAATCTTCTGTCTGTGGGTGGTTCTTTTTGGCTTCTGTTATTCTTTCCTATCTCATTCTATCTTCTCCGTCTTTATCTCCTATCCCCATCACCATCTTTATTTCTTGTATCGAATTGATCCGAACTGGCTTTGCATCGGGGTGTGGGCACAAAAAACGGGCAAAGAGCATCTGGCGCAAAAATGGAACGGGACCTTTGTGTTCCCGTTTTGGAATTGGGCTTGGGCTTGGATTCGGGGGTTGGGTCTTTTCATTTCTTCTCTCTTTAGTATAATGAGTAGTCTATGCTGCTTGTTGCTTTGGTATGTGATATAAATGGTTCATTCTTGGCTTTTGGCTTTTGAATTTATATCTCGAGCTAGCAAACCCTTTCCAAGCATTGGATCTGAGATGGGGTCGATCTACTTGATATCAGATATGAACTATTTTCAGTGTTCATGGTTTATAGGTGCGACATTGCAGTGAGCTACCTTAGAGGTTGGATTTCTAGTGCTGGTTCAAACTGTAGGTTGTAGAGCTCAACCGCTCAGTCTTTGCCCTCATGGGTATCCACGTAATAGGCGGTTACGATGTTTGCCCTGCTACCGCATCTATGCTTTCAAACTTGATCCAATCAAATGCCCTGGGCAACTCAAGATGGAGTCTGATCCCGGTTGGCATCCATTCTAGTATCTTTCCCGTGTCTTTCCCATGCGAATAAAGGCCAAGACCAAAGACGGAGATGTATAACAAGAGCTTCATTACCCACGATCCATACTTGTTACCATCTATTTAGAAATAGTAGAACGTGGACCTTAGGTATAGGTGGATGTACAACACGCTGATTCAATGAAACCTTAGAATTGATGCCCCATATGCATTGAGAGTACAGGATATAAAACAAGTCGCGAACTCGGGGTACCGTGGTGGAATAATACAGTATTGAAACAAAAAAGGAATAGGAAATGCTCGAGTGATCTCGCTGACCACTTTAACGCTTGACCCAGGTAGGCATCTTGCGGGCCTTGACGTGACCAGGCTTCTTTCTCTCGACACGGCGAGCGTCGACTGTGATGGCACCGGCTGCAAAGGAATCGAAGTTAGCAACTGCGTCAATGAAATGAGATATAAGAATGGAACCAAGAACATACCCTTCCTCAGAACCGGCTTCAACCCAGGCTCATGCAACAGCAAAGCCCGACCAAGAGCCAATGTAATAGCCTCAGCTTGACCAGTAACACCACCACCCTGCACCCGAATCCAAGCATTATACTTATCCAATCGCTGCGTACACCTCAGCGCCCAAAGAGCACTCTCACGATCATGAACCCGCTTAAACACCTCCACAATACTCTTTCCATTAACCAGCACCTCACCCTCGCCCTCAACAAGCTGCACAACAGCCGTAGACTCCTTCCTCTTTCCCTTCCCGCGTGCACGGCCATTCTCATCCACCGTCCGGGGAACATTCTCCACCGCATACGGGTTACCAGGACGCAAGAACGTGGCGAGAGTATCGCGCACCTCGGCAGGAACCATATCGGGCTGGATGCGGTTCAGCCGCTGTAGGATCTTGACTAGCGACTTGTATTTCTTCATGGGCACGGGCTCGCCCACGAAGTCGCGGAACTGTGGGAGCTTGAACCACGCCATGCGCGGTGCCTCGCTCGTAGCCACTATAGGGAGTGCGGCGTGCTTCGCTTGCAGAGCTTCCAGTGCCAGGACGTGGTCGATGAACCGTGGGCTGCCGGAGAAGTAGGATGGAGAGGATGGGATGATACGGGCGGGCTTTTGGTTGAAGGAGCCGAAATTGATTTCGGGGGCTGCAGCCGCGGGGACGGACTCGGCTTCTGTTGCGTAGGTGCGCGTGCGGAGGGTGTTGAGGGTTGTTCGGGAGGCTTGGGTTGAGGGTTTTGTGAGGGTTGAGGTTAGGCGGAGGGATTGCATCGCCTGTGCGAGGCTGGTGGGTTTGTGCCACGCCATGGCTGGTGGAATTGGCGGGGAATTCGGGGCTGAAACTCGGATTTGAGGTCCTAGATGGAGGCCGTTGATGGTCTCCGAGTGTCATGTTTTTTGTCTGGTCATGTGATGTGGCTCCGGCAATATCAGTTCCTCCGAACACCGAAGTCGTCCCGCCGGCACAAAAAACTTTCTCGCCCCCCTCCTTTCTCTTTCTTTCTTTTTTTTTTTTTCCCTCATCTTCCACACATTACATTCAAGATGGCCTTCGGAAAGCTCTACGGTCTGCCTGTATGTTTTTCTTCGCCTCTTTGCTTTGGTTCGATGTCTAATATTCTTTAGGACAACGGTCGCACCATCTCCATCCTGGTCGCTGCTAAGCACAACGACCTCGATTTGGAGCTGGTTAAGACTGAGGCCAACTCTGCCGCTGAGTTCAACACCAGCGCTGAGTACCTCAAGCTCAACCCCACTGGCAAGATCCCTGCCTTCGAGGGTGCCAATGGCTTCACCCTCTCTGAGGTTATTGCCATTGCCGTCTATGGTATGTGAACATTTCCTCCTTTCGATGCATTCCACCACACCTCTCGGTCCATTTTTTGCCTCTCTTCTTTATGATGAGATACCATTAGTTATCCCTGTCTGAATTATAACTCTTGTGTTATAACAACTGTTGAGAAAAAACAACTCTGAAAAAAAAAATTGGCTACCCCGCTCTGCGGGAAAATTTGGACTCGACCACCCCCCCTTTTTTTTTGCAATGGATACATGGTGTCATCGACACCTGATTGCTCCATTGTTGGACCCAATTGAGTTTCAAAGCAACTTGACTAACACGTCCTGTTCATAGTCACCTCCCAGAACGAGAAGACCACCCTTCTCGGCAAGACCAAGCAGGACTACGCTTCCATCCTCCGCTGGATGTCCTTCGCGAACACTGAGGTTCTCCCCAAGTTCGGTGCCTGGTACCGCCCTCTGTTGGGCGTCGATGGTTACAACAAGAAGACTGTCGATGAGGCCGCCAAGGCTGCCCTCAAGGCCGTCTCTGCCCTCGAGACTCACTTCACTGCCAACACCTACCTTGTTGGTGAGCGTATCACCCTGGCCGATATCTTCGGTGCCGCCCTCCTTACCCGTCCTTTCGCTCTTGTCCTTGACAAGACCTGGCGCGAGGCCAACCCTGCCACCACCCGGTGGTACAACACCATTATCAACCAGGACGCCTTCAAGGCTGTCTTCCCCAACCCCCAGTTCGCCGAGGAGGTGATCAAGTACGTCCCCCCTAAGAAGGAGCCCAAGCCCAAGGCCGCTGCCCCTGCTGCCGCTGCCCCCGCTGAGGCCCCCGCCGCTGAGGCCCCCAAGGCCAAGCACCCCCTCGAGGCTCTTGGCAAGCCCACTCTCATCCTTGATGACTGGAAGCGCAAGTTCTCCAACGAGGACCCCCGCACCGTCGCCATGCCCTGGTTCTGGGAGCAGTTCAAGGCCGATGAGTACTCTCTCTGGAAGGTCAACTACCGTTACAACAACGAGCTCAAGCTCACCTTCATGGCCAACAACTTGATCGGTGGTTTCCAGACCCGTCTTGAGGCTTCCCGCAAGTACCTCTTCGGTGCCCAGTCTGTCTACGGCGAGAACTACGACTGTGTCGTCTACGGTGCCTTCATGACCCGCGGCCAGGAGTGGGAGCCCGCTTTCACTGTCGGCCCCGACTACGAGGGTTACGAGTTCACCAAGCTCGACCCCTCCAACGAGGCTGACCGCAAGCTCGTCGAGGACATGTGGTCCCAGGACGTTCCCGTCACCGTTGACGGTAAGGTCAAGGAGTGGACCGATGGCCACGTCTTCAAATAAGCGCGTTCGCCCCGATCTACCCTCCCCATCTCCTATAAAATTTCATCCCCCAATACCCCGATGGACGTGCTGTGCTTGAAAACACCCTACGCCTCATGTCCATTCTCTTCTTTCCTCTGCCTGAAATTCTTTGGGATTTTCCAAATATCTTGACCTTTGGTCTTACGTGTTGATGTTGAATCACGGTTATGAATACGTTGCGACGCGGAATGATGATCGACTGAGCTGGTTTGGGTTTTGCTACTATGACAATCCCAGCTGGCCAGGTCGCTGCTAGTTTAGTTCTAGCAATGAAAGAACAGAGACAGTTCTCTGAATTTCTTCAGTGCATATTTATTTTTCCTTGTGTAGTTGTAAATTATCAGTAGTCTTTGTAGAAGTAGGTCTTGGAGCTATCTAGTGTCTTGAGATTTGTGCTTTACCCAGGATTGTTACAACACCACCAGTATGCATCCTCACTCTTATGTCCTCTATCTCTCCAATATTCATTGGCTTTGTCGTTTGCTCTGCCGTTTGCTCACTCGTTCGGATATACCATTGGATCTTAACCATTTGTTTGCCTACTGGCCTAGATATAAATTACTAGATACCTCCTTACTGCTTAACCATCCTCTTCTCGCACATCTTTCCGCTCGACCGCTCATCAATCAAGTTGTCTTCCTTCAAGCTGCCTATACATATCTTCCTACGTTTCACTTAGGTTTCATCATCATCCGTCATTTCCATTTTACATTTCACATCTACTACTCCCAGTCTTCATCACTAGGGAATCACAAGTCCTCTCGTGCTTCGGCTATCGGTGACACATACAAGGACTCGGCGGACCTTGGAAAGATGCAGAGCTCCATCTCAGCTTTATCAAAAGACCCGAAAAGCCATATATATATATTGGAGATTGCATGTCATTCGCCATAATGTAGTACCACTCCTGGCCTTGCATGCTTTTAAGTCCCCGACATCGAAATGAAGCTCACGTTGCCCTTCTACGAAGAAACATCTGCAAGTCTGTTAGGACTCTACAACATGAAACAGACAGCTTCATCTATGTAGTGGAAGAGTCTTGGTTGTGACTATAGGAACGATAAATCGCCAGATATGACCGGAGTCCCAATCGAACAAAGCCAGTCTCACAGATCAATGGTGGCAACGCAGCAGTCCATCGAAATTCTGGGTACCCCAATAACCACCTATTCAACCTCCTCGGCAATCAACCGCTTTGGAACTCTCGCATACCATGACCTGACTGTGTATGGCCAGGACATGGGGGTAGCGAACATCTTCCTTGCTCTCTCATCTGCCGATCTCCATTGGGATGACTTTATGCGCCATCTCCCAAATTATCACGCTGGGTTCTCAGAAGTTGTGGTCATCTGTCAACGCATCCCATGGGTACATATCTGGGAGGCCCATATTGTCGCCCAGTGGTTTGATCTTCGGTTCAGGATGTGCATTTCCAAACATCGATCCTGCGCGCAATGTATCTTCAGGATATCAAGACCATCATAGTCCACACAGACTACTGTGGTTTGTTGTCTGGGACATGACGAAACCGCAAGCAGGGATTGAGGGCCTGTATGGACAATGGAGATGTATGAATGTTGTCTTATGTTCTCTCTTTCCTCGAATTTAATTATTGGGCGAGGAAGCAGGGCAGGGCTTCTACATTGCTCGGCCAATTGGTTTTGCACACAGCGAGCCAGATATATCAAGATTGGAAATGCTCGCTCAACCGAACTCTTACAGAACTATGTGGGCAGTTAGAAGTAATCTTCTGCGATTACTCCTGATTGTTTCAAAAGAAAAAAAACCAATCGTTTCGACTTTCGACTGCTCTTCTTTCTCACTTCGTTTGTCCCATTGTCCCAACTTGTATCTTTCTGTCCATCCCTGAACAGCAGCAGAAACACTGTAGGTTGGAATAGAGGAAATGCCTTGCCTTGGTAGCAGGCCTTGTTAATCACCCTCTTCAAGTTGACCCGGAACTCATGGTAAAGTAAGCAGATATTCTCTTGGGAGTCCTGGGGCTTTGATCTATGTTGTTCAGAGACTGGCTGAGGGGAGAAGGGTTTTACGACATTCTCCCAAGGATGGAAATGTCTGCTTACTCTACCATGAGGCCGGGGCCAATTTGAAGAGAGTGACCGGCAAGATCTCCATGATTGCTATCTTCCATCGTCCCCTGCTCTCTCTTTTCCCCTTAGTCAGTCATCATCAACCAATAGAATTTATCATTGGTAGTTGCATCTCCATCATTGTAGCCTGCCCCATCATCACTATCCGGAGGAGAAAAAAAAAAAAAAAAAACTGCCATGCACTTATCAATGCTAAGCAGTCGTCCCGGATGGCAAATGTCTTTATAGACCTCTACAAACCCCCCGATCAGTGGGTGGGAATCGAGAAGCTGCGCTCGGGAAAGAGGCAACGGAAATGGTAGAGTTCCTCTCTTCCATGAGCCTGAACAAAAGGCCAAGGCTCTCTTGAGATGGCTTCTGTGAGATTCTCTCGTTCTTCGCAAATTCGTGGGCGAGATTCTTGGTTCTAAAGACGACATTCTCCAATCTCTTGTCGCCAAATGGCATTCGGAAATTCAACCAGATGAAGGAACTAGAATGGCCGCTGTCGTCTCGGCAGCCAAATGACAAACTTTACTGCTACTTCCTCGCATCAAAATCTGGACAGATATAGATCCGAATGATGATGCTCATCTACGGTGACTTGAGAGATCAGACACAGTGTCAGCACTGTTTGCTCGATATAGCTAAATCTTTTTCTTCTTTCTCTCATCCGTCCCATTTGATAGGAATCAGAATACACAGTTTCTCCATCTGAAAATCGATCTTCTAAACATTGTTATAGCAAAAGGCAAACTACCATATTTGTTCTGACAACTTAAATGTAAACTTAAAGATTCTTTCCAAAGTAATTCACAAGCTTTGGTCCAGATACCGTGAGGTCATCATAGAGGTCGAAATGGTTCTTTCCATCAACAACAAACAGCTCCCTGGGCTCACGCGCAGCAGCAACTGCATCTCTACTGAAATGAAGATTCTGAGCATCAGATCCAGCGATCATTAGGTACGGCCGTGGAGAGATCAAGTGCTGAAAGTTGAACGAGTCATAGCTAACCATGAGATCGTAGCTGGAGGGCGGGACTTTCTGGCCTGAACGCGGGTGATTTCCCCGCTTCGTAACGGAGTACGAAGCGGCCTCTTTAAAGGGAGAGTCGGCGTCCTCAGGCATCTGGGAGGGATCACTATTGAACATTGGCGGGGCGTCGAGAGGAGGCCCGTTGGCTGCGTTAGTACGCCACTGGCCAGCAGCCTGGAGTGCACCGGCAATAGCCTGGGGGACCTCGTTGTTGTTCTCCTTGTGTAAACCTCCATTGCGAGTCATACGGTCCACACAAGCCGCACTCACAGTGGCGAGTGCTTTGATCCGACTATCAGACTGCGCGGCATATGATGCATACCCGCCCGAGGCACAGATACCAAGGACGCTAATGCGTTTAGGGGTCAACTTTCCCCTTGAGAGTTGTTAAGAAGCTCCCAGCTCCCTTTACACCTTCGACTCGCTGGTGGGGGTCTTCAAGACCACGCGGCTGACCGGTACTTTCGCCCTGGTACCCTGCGTCGAAGGTTAGGGCATAGATATATATAGGAGGGAGTATTATATGGTATTCTACTATTTTTACTATTCTTCCCTCATTTATAGTCTACTTCACTCTATCTATATAACCAAACAAGACTGATATGGTATGATAGAGTCAATGCCTTGACTATGCATGCATATAATATTCTCGGCAACCACTCATGAAATATATAAACTACCATTTCCAGACCCTAAAAGAGGGGAAGAAATATACAGGACGGGATATCTATAAAAATAACAGGACAAAAAAATACCTCTCAGAATCCAAGCCTCAACCTTGATAACCGCTATACTTACTACTCGAGGTCAACGCTTCGCAACCCCAATCCCAAGTCCCTCCTCAAGCCGATCAAGCAATGAATTCCTCGACCCAACCGATGAAACCGGTGACGGCGAGCGGTTATGCTTAGTTCTTGAACCAGTCACGACTTCCGGCGGAACGTGCGCAGCAACATCCAACTCCATGCCCACAGTCAAATCCGCGTCTGGAGGGAGGTATTCAGGTGATAACCCGGTTGTTATAATATTTGCTGCATTGGCGGTATGAGTAGCTGCAGAGGCGGATTCGAAGACCGTCTTCGAATCAGGACCAGAGGCCGAGCCAGAACCAGAAGTAGAGGCAGAAGTAGAAGCATCTCCAGAAACATTTTCAACACTCCCCCTCCGGAAATTATATCTTTCCTGTGTGGTCTGAGACCCTGTAGGCGACGCGGGAGTATCAACTTCCCGCAGGGCCTTTCTGGTTGCTGCCTTCTGCTTGCGACGAGTGGATTCCTGGCTTGTTCCAGGTTGAGCTGGAAGGAGACCGAGACCAGGTATTTTTGGGTCGACGCCGGCGACAGATTGCTTGCTAGTCTCATTTTCGTCACTCGGTGTAGGAACGCCGTGTTTGTTTCGGTACTCCGCTTCGGCGGCGGCCTTTATGGCGAGGCTTTCTTCTTCCCTGGCTCTTTTGCGCGCTTTGCGGGACATTTTGATTTTGGTCTTTTGGCCTTCTGTTTTCTGCTGGGGTTGTGTTGGCTTTGTGGCTGGCGGGTTATTGATGGGTGCAGTAGTGGCAAGTGCGGGTTTCGCGTTTTGGGTTGGATTATTGGCGGCGGCCGCTTTTGCTCTGGCCTTGGCCTTCTTATTTTTCTTGACCTTGGGCTTAGCAGTTGTAGGGGCAGGGCCATCGCCAGTACCATCGAAGGTCATGGGATCCCCACTAGAGCTGCCATTCAACTGCTTTGGGAGGAGACTTATCCCGCCGTCCTCGTTATCGACAGAATCCTCATGGAGTCCAATATCCAATTCCAGAATACTACCCTCACCCCTGTCTACACGCTCATTCCAGACGCGGAGAACCTTGCTCACGTCGTCGTGGTGTGCGAGATAATCAAGGCGACTAAGCACCTTAGCGAAGAGCTTCGTCTCATCGATATTGGGATCACCAGCGAACTCCGGGATCTCGAGGATATTGAATGGCTCACTCGAAGCTTTGAGCTTGCTATCATCAATGAGGATAGTATTGGTCTGGTCCCAACGGTGGCCCGCGGGAAGCTTTGCAGCCTCAGCCTCGCGAAGTTTCTGCTTGCGGTTCTTGTGTGGTGGCTTGTCGCTTGGTGGTGCGGCCGGGGGACCTTTGAGATGCTCGTTTCCCGGGAATGCGCCTTGGATATTTGCCTCTGCCCAGACTTTGTGCAGCTCCTTATAGACCTGGAGCTTTTTGTTGTATTGGCCGGCGGTGAGACCGAATTTGTCGCGTCCCCAGCGGGCGACGAGAGCGTCGTGCATGGAGCCCGGGAAGATCTGCTCGCAGACTGCGTTTACAGTCGGAGGTTGAGAGCTGGACCAGATCATAACTTTGTAGTTTTTGACTAGCATGGCTAGGAAGTGATCTAGACCGGCGCGTCTGGCAAATTTCGGTGGGAATTTGCGCAGCTTGCGGTAAATTAGGGTGCCGTTGAGATCGAGGATGACGAGGAGTGGTCGCTTTTCTGTCTTCTCTGGCTTCAGTGATGCTTGATTTGTGTATTGTAATGTTGGAAGTGGGACTTTGACTGGCGGTGTTGGCGATCTTTGTCTTTGGGGATCCGGTGTGAACCGTTGTCCTGTGCCACCGGCCATTGTGCTCATGGGTCGGGTGTTTTGGAAGGGTAGTGGGGCATTCATATCGAAAGGGAGGAGAGGAAATGGGGGTGGGAATGGCGCCCCGCTATCGAAGCCCGGATACATCCAAGGCATATTCTGTGCCATTTGGAAGAAAGTTTGATCCATGCCCATTGGGTCTTGTGGTAAAGTATTAAAAGCGCCAAATTGTGGTTGACCTTGTTCCGAAGGTATTTGTGGTTGGCGCTGTTGCATGGCAGGAGCGTGGCCCTGAGATTGATAGGCCTGTTGATTGGCCGGTCCAATCTGATAACTAAAGTTCGAGTTTATATTCGGCGCAGGAGCATACTGCGAAGGTGGAAGATTGCCCTGTACAGGATAGTCCCCATATCCCGCACTCCGATGTGTATCCTGAGGGGGCGCATTGCGGTCCCAATAACTGTGTGAGGGAGCCGGCCGACTAGCCCCCCGTCCATTCTGTGTTGATACAGAGTTCATATTCACCACATAATAGGCTGAATTGGCATACTGTGGAATCGGATTCGACTGGTGTTCAAGATCCGCGGCGTTAGACGCACGCTTCGGTCTTTTGTTTGCGCGAGACAGCTTGAAGGACGTAGGACGTGACGAGAGCAGCAGTGTAGAGAATCTCAGTCGGGATCCTAGAGCGCCAGAATTCGAAACTGGGAGAAGCTATTTAAAAGCAAGTCAGAGATAAACCAACAATTGGCGAACATGCTATCCACGTAGCGAATGATAGTGGAGGCAATACCTGATTGGTTGCCCTGGGAAGACGCTGAGAGTGACGCGATGAGAGATTTACAAGTTGGAAGTGAGGGAAGGCTCGACCACCCAGAGCATGCAGGGACATTTATAAAACAACAAGCGCAAATTAGTTAAGAACGTTCATCGCAACATCAGGGCATCGCGAAAAATATCTAATCAGCTCTTATCGCTCTGACCGCCCCGAGCGGCAATATTTTTCTTTTCGACAGTTCTTCTTCCTCCGCGGGGGTTTTCCAACTACGGCAACAACAAAATGGCTATTTCCGATCTGCTCAATCGCCGAGTGCGAGCTCGGCCAGAAGATGATGAGGTCTTCTCCGAAGGATCAAGTTCCGAGGAGGGTTCACAGGATGGCTCTGATGCCGAATCCAACGACTCCATCCAATCAGTAAGCCACCAACACCTTCACTCTAGAATCACAGCTAACCAAAATGCAGCCAGGGGATGACTCCGAAGCCGAAGAAGCAGGTACAGGCTCCGAGTCCGAAGCCAACTCAGATATCGAAGAAGAGCCGGAATCTGAGCACGACACGGGCGACGACTTCAAAGCCTCACTAGCCGACATCTCCTTCGGCGCGCTAGCCAAAGCTCAAGCCTCGATGCGTGAGAAGAACCGCAAAGACAGGCGCACACCAAAAGACGACACCACCTCAACACTCGACGACATCCGCACGAAGCTCCGCGAAGCACGCGAACAAAAGCTCGAAGCCGCGGCGAAATCCAAATCCAAAGAAAAGAAAAGCCGAACCTCCAAGCACGCGCCGATGGAGCAATCTTCCAAACGGGCCGTGACACGCAAGCGCATGGCAGTGGAACTCCCGCCCGCTCCGCGCTCCCGAGACCCGCGCTTCGACGCAGCGGTCATGGGCCACAGCGGTGTTGGGAAGCACCCGCATGGCGGGACTGCGTATGCGTTCTTGGATGAGTACCGGGCTTCTGAACTGAATGATTTGAAAGAGCAGATGAGGAAGACGAAGAATCCTCAGCAGAAGGAAAAGCTTAAGGGGGAGATTCGACGGGCACAGGATAAGTTGCGGTCTGCGCAGAATAAGAAGCGGGAGGCGGATGTGCAGGCTGAGCATAAAAAGCGCGAGAAGCAGTTGATTCGGGAGGGGAAGAAGGCTAGTCCTTATTATCTTAAGAACTCTGAGTTGCAGAAGCAGGTTCTTGAGAGGAAGTATGAGGAGATGGGATCGAGGGAGCGGGCTAAGGCACTTGAGAGGAGACGGAAGAAGATGGCTTCCAAGGAGAGGAAGGAGATGCCTTGGGAGAGGAGGGGAGCGGAGGGTGGTGGTCAGGATGGGGGTATGCCTAATGGGGGGAAGAGACGGAGGTTGGAGTAGACCTTGTTTGTATTGGGTTATGGCGTTGATCTGTCGGGAATGAAAAGTATATAGTATTATGCATATGAATATTGAATATCTTGTCTACATCTCCACGGGTATGTTGTATGTATGATCTCAAGTGAGATTTGCATTAGGATCACCAGTCTCGGAGATGAGGACCAGTATGGCGGCAAGAGCGAAAGGTTGCAAAGAGAAGAAAAGAAGGCATTCAGAATAGGTCAATAAGAGGCCGAGAACTCATTACCATAATGCTTTATCTCCCCACAAAAAAAAAAAAAAAAAAAGGTTCAAAAGGTATAGTACGAAGCATAGAAACCCCCCCAACGCCCAAAGCAAATTTGATGCAGAAAAGAACCCGAACACGAAATTTTTACAGGGTTCTAAGGTGCCCTGCCGATACTGTCGTAGCATAGATAACATGATATTGATGCAAGCATCATTGGGTATGGGGGAAGGGTTTCCCGACTCGATCGTCCAGGATGAGTCGGGGAAGAGTGGACATTCACATTTGCCCAGGCATTGGATCGGTGTTGGACTTGCCAATAGGACCAAATAAGAGCCTGGGACTTGATAGCATCAAAGTAAGGTCTTTGCATTCCAAGGCAGCAAAACTCCTCAGATGTGATAGTATTTATAGATGGCATCGGAAATGATTGGGTCGAGTATTTGCTAGCAGGTTGGTTCAAGCAAATTCCATGATTACTTGATACTTGCGAAGCAGAGCCGACCCTCGGCCTCTGCAAGAGGCACTGCTAAGACAGACTACCAGAGCGATGCCGTATTAAGAGTGGAACAAATCCCAAGCCCGTGCACAGAGACCTAGGAATTCATCTTTCTTTCTCCGCTGTGTCTCGGGTGAGTCTCTTCCTGCACCGAAAGGTCCAGGGAACGAAGCATGCGGACCGGGGATGGTAGCCGGGTTGGGCCGGTATTGAGAGTCGGGGCCATGACCCAGCGGCGGACTTCCGTTGTCGTGTTCATACTCGCTCCGAGGGCGCCGACGTGCTGTAACATCGGACGGGGCGAACATACCAAAGGAGGCAGGAGGCGGACCGTGAGGCGCTTGGGGTTCTGGGGCAATAGGCGCGGTCTTGGGGCCTGCGTGGAGTATTTGTGGGGATGGCGGAGTGGGAGGTTGGTGTCCTCCATAGTGGACAATGCGGGGCAGTAGCTCCTCTCGTCCACCGGACATCTCTTGTACGGCTTCTTCGGCTGAGTGATATTCGCGCGGTCGGTTGGGGGTTTGGGACATGTTACCTGGCAGACCAGGGGAGGGCATCGGCGCCAAGTTGTTGGACTGAGAGGAGTTCGTGCTCGATGCGTTCAAATGGATATTAGCGAGGCCAGAGTCCCGGTCTCGACCCAATGTATCGGAACCGAAGACGTCGGAGAGGGGAGGAAGACGATTGTTTGTTTGGGTTGCTGGCAGTTGATGCATGTGAGAGGTCGAGCCCAAGGTCGGGCTCTGATTGACGACATGGCGGGTCAATGGCTGTGGCTGGTGTCTGCCAGTGAAAGTCTGGTGTAGCGGAGCAGATTGAATGACTCGCTCGTTTGCAAACTGGGAGGCGGATGGAGGTACGATGGATAGACCGGCCGGAGGTCTGCGCTTTCCGGTCTTTGGCATACCCATCAAATTCGACTCGGAAGGCTTCATACCATCCGGACCATCGTCTTTGGCTGATCTCTGCATGCGCTGTTCAATGATCGACCGCTGCTGATCCCGCACAGAGAGGCTGCGCTGCAGTTGCTCTCGCATGACCGGATCATGGGTCTGGAAGCCAGGCGACAGGCACGCCAGGCCTACATGTTGCATTGAGGCTGTCAAAGGTCCCCCCGGAGGGCGAACAGTCAAACCGCTGGAGGATGGAAGACTAGTCGAAAGGTCCAATTTTCGAGGCCGGGGCCGGCTCTGCAACCGTGGGGAGGAACCCGGTTCCTTCTTTACAGTTATTTGTGGGCCTCCGCTGCCAGCTTGGGATCTGAGGATATTGTTAGTGTGCGAAGTTCCAGACTGTATGAATCTCTCGACTTACGGAGATGCTGGACCTCTCTCGGTCGGGGAACCGTGGACTGCGGATCCATTCTTGGGGCTTTTGGACATCCGGGGTGGAGAGAAATTGGACGGGATATTATTCGGAGGAGCCAAAGACGGAAGATTTCTCGGGCTAGGGTTGCGAGTCGGGTGTGGTGAAGACAAGGGGGCCGCTGCGGATGCAACTGCGGTGGACATGGTCGACGGAGATGATAATTCAAGTTCCTCCAGGTATGGTATCAGGTATCACGACGCAGATGGGAAGTCCAAAGTACTCTGCGTATTGCCTCGATAAATCTCCACGGGATGCAAGGGCATCTGGAGTGCGGGAAAGGGTCCGGAAAGCGGATCGAAACGTGGGATCGGCCAGGTCGATATATCGGAGAGTAGAGAATCCCAAAGATGGAGGAGAAGGGCGGTTAGGCGTCAGGCGGCAGTGTGACAAAGAGTCCAGAATTACAAGCGAGAGAAATGGACGAAAATGCGAGGGAGGGGTGTTCAGCAGTCTGGGCCCTGGTAAAAAAAACAAAAAAAAAAGGATGAGATCGGCCAAGCTATTCCAGGGGGTAATATAGAAGTTCAAAAAGATGAAGGTACCCAGTACGTTGATCTCAAGAAATACAAAGAGGGGAAAGACGCATCAGCAGTCACCCCAGCTAAGTACCAGATACCCGACCTTCCGGGTGGACCCAACTGAGACACGATGTGTTTCTGGGAGATGGGTGTTCCAGGGGGATCCACCGTTCATTTTATTTTATTTATATTCTTGTGAGTTGTATGTTGTAGTTATACTAGTACTATAATATATAATATATATAATATTATATAGTATTATATAGTATTATATAGTATTATATTATATACATATATAGTGTATATATATAGAGAGAATATATCTTTATATAAATCGTACTCTTAGTTTTCACTGACATGATCATTTCCCATTTACCTTTTTGTATATTCGCCTAGCACTGTGGATCCCTTTTCTCTAACAATAGTATAACAAGCAAATATTACTAGCACCTCCTGTCCAAAAATTAATCGAATCATATTCCCCAACATAAACCCAGAATTTGACAAAGAAATAATATTAAAATTTTTTTTAAAAAAAAGCCAGTCACATTTCCATCCACTCGCACAGCGTTATATGTCAAACAAGGCGCAGCGGGCGCTTATATCAAAAGGGGCCACTAGTGTGTGGCGTCCAAACAAGTCACCCACCAACACCTGTCCTATGCGGGTACCACGTACATCCTACCAAAACCAAAACCAAGCTGAAACTGAAACTGAAACATCCGAAAAAATATATATATATTAGGATTCAGTTTACTCCGTACTCCGTTGACTTAGTTTAGATGCTCACGACTTGCCTTATTTGATCACTTACTCCATATGGAGAAATACACATCCAATAGACCTGATCTGTCTGAAATTAGAGTCCACTCGATTGGGCCTGTCACGGTCCTGCGTTCATAAATGCACAGACCATGGGTGCGTGCGGGTTCCGACTTTTGCATATCAATCTGTGCGGTTCTTAAAGAGGTGTTTCTGATATATCTATGTACATGCCTATGTACAAAGTACCGGTCTAATCCGTGGTGGGATGTGGTGGGATGAAAGGAAAGCTGACAAATGGCTCATTCTCCCCCCCCCCTTCCCCCCCAAGTCTGAACCCCGGGGCCCAGATGGATCCCTTGGGAAATCCTTAATCCTTGGGAATCCTTTGGGTCTAAAGTAGTACCTTTGTTTCACAAATTTCTTACTATTGAGGTGACCATTCGAACTTTTCACAAGGGTCAGATCTCTATTAATCTATCTGAGAGGAATATTTCGACAACTGCCTACGGACACCATATACAACATACTATCAAACTCGTTACTTCATACCTACCTACCGACATATGTAGGTACTGCAGGTGGGGACGGAGTAGGAATAGATCTTTCAATCTCCCGCATCAGGAGTGATACACTTGCATATGAAGAGGCTCTATACTTTCATCCAGTTCCTAAAATTCTCATATGCATATGTATATAGTAGTGGGGGACTAGTTAACTAGTTAGTCAGTAAATGAGTAATACATGTTGACAGGCATAGGCTGTATGTATGATCCACTATATTATACGAACATAGGTTGGGGGACCTTTTCAGCAAAAAAGAATATAAAAATAACATTCTATACAAATATAGTATTTACAAGCTTCTAGAAAGAAATATCACACCCTTTATCTTCACAAAAGACAACATCTCAACGACACAATTTTATAGATGCCATAAACAGCAGGCGGTGAGAGCCGACTATCGATAACCCACCTTTTTTTCTTCGCGATAATCTTCGACTTGGAGATCCAGATCGCGCAAATTTCTTAGGCTAAAACTCTGACCTTCTAAGCCAAACGACAGCGAAGACATTAATCTACTGTCTTGCAAATCCCAACCCAGCTAACCACCTCCCACCATCCCCAACTCCCGCATCCACTCGAACAGCCCTCGACAAACCATCGAACTCGTTAGATCAACCTACATACCTCACATTCCTCACCAAAAACACAATGCCTGAATCTGTCCACTCCCAAGACCTGGACCAGTCCATGGTCGACGCAGAGCAGCCCACCGAGCTGCCCCAGTCCAACGACCCCATCCTCGAGGAGAGACAGATTGTCGTGGTATGTATCTGCTCTGCGGACACCCGAATTGATGCTACGATTAATCTCTGGATATGTCCAAAGATAAAATTAAAATTAAAAAACCAAGCTAATACCATTACTTCCCACAGCTCCCCGGCGCCACCGAAACCGCCGCTTCATTCCAGTTCGAAGGCGAAGGCCACACCATGGGCAATGCGCTGCGGTACGCCATTATGAAGAAGTGAGTACATGCCGTGATGCCGAGACTAGATTCGATATTTCGTACCGGATGTTTTCAAACAAGCATTGAACCCTCGATCTGGTCTGGGCGGAGAACAAGAACATCACTGACTATTAAGTAGCCCTGCCGTTGAGTTCTGCGGTTACACCATCCCCCACCCCTCGGATCCGAAGATGAACGTCCGTATCCAGACCAACGGTATGTTCCTCCTACTTTTTTCACTACTTTCTTGTGTATCTCCGCAATGTCGAACGGGGAATGGTTACTAACACATGGCTTTAGATACTACTACTGCTCTCGAGGCTCTGGAGAAGGGCTTCAATGATCTGATGGATCTGTGCGATGTCGTAACGGAGAAGTTCACTGCTTCGCGTGATCAGTTCAATGCGGAGAGTGGGAACCGGATGGAGGCATGAGGTTGTTTATTTGCATATGTATTATTTAGTTGGCGTTTCTGGGTAGAGGGAAAAGTACATTTTCTATCTTGGGCATGCAAAGTGCTTTTTTGGTTTCTTGGTACATATATATTTATAAGGAATACTTGATGATAGAGGAGTTATTCATGATACGTTCTATGAGACTAATATTGCTAGGACGATTGTGCTGTCATAGGATAGATTCAGCATCGACTCGAAGCTAGGCGTATGCAGAAACTAGAGAACGAAATAAGATAATGGAATGGCTTATTCAGACAATATATACACATCATGTCTATCGATGGCTCAGTTCCTTGAACTGTCACATCGCGGACCAGAAACGAGATGAAGAGGATAGGAAATAAGAGAGAAAGGAGCAGAAAGAGAGTTTTAATTGCGACCCTCGAGGAAACCAGAGACGAAGTTGCCGGGTAGCCGCGCGCCAGGGTCTTCTTCTGGGCGGAAGTACTTCATAACATGAGAAAGCTGCTTCCAGTAGTTAAGGGTTTCCTGCATTGAAATGATGTCAGTATTTGATTCTGGAATTCTGGGGCGGCTGCGACAATGGGCTATCCAATAGAGACAAAGAAGCAGTCTATGCTTCTTGCAATGGTCTTAAAAGATCCCCACGTCGAAAGAGACATGTCATATATCCTAGGCAAAAACAGTGGACTGGACTAACCTGGAACTCGGCGTGGCTCTGGTACAACAGCACGTCCACGACAGACAATTGGCTAACGTAGCGGTGCTTCTCGAACTCCTGGCGGATCTTGGTGCGGATGGCGGATACGGGCATGCCCAAGGAGTACATGGTCTGGATCTCCGGGGACTGTATTTGATGATATAACGTTAGCCGAGTCCGTTGCGGGGTCAAATTGCAGCCTTTTAAGCCATAGAGAAAAAAAGAAACAGCCTCTAATTAATCCACTCCTGCGGTATACGCCTGGAACAGAGGGAAAGAATATGTCAAGGGAGGTGTATCGGCATGCGAGCTCGGGGTAAACTGACCGCGCGGAGCCATTCACGGTACGACTTCAAGACTCGGTATTTCGCATCGCCCCAGTTGACAGCTAGAAAACAGACAGGTATATTAGCACCTTTTCGCGGGTATGATAGACTCCCATTGACGATCCCGCCGGGTGGACGGCGGAACACATCGGGCGTGGAAGGGACGTACAGGAGCGCGTGCGCTGCGCCAGATAGGTAGGGTTGATAGTCATTTTGGAGGAGAGTTGAGTGCCCACTCAATCCAGTGCGGTTCAATCACTGAGTGCAGGAAGACGGGGAGGGAATTGAACGTGGGTTCCTGAGCTATCAGGGTGGAGGTTTCGATCTGAGGTTGGTGGTGGAATGGGCCTGGCTCACCGCCTGCCTTTTCAAAAAAAATCTTTGCGAATTTGGGGATTATCGGACCGTCTTGCGCGACGTTTCTCTGCTCTTGTTTTTTTCCCCTCGAATATTTTTCGATATCTCTGATTCTGTTGCAGGGTTATTCGATTCTTCTTGGGTTGTTGAAGTTATTACCACTCATTTCTCGTCACCCTCTCAATCTTTGCATTTCTCTCTCCGTCTGCCTCGTCTCAACTTAATCAACCGCTCAATTCTTCGACTACGAAATGGCTCCTAACGTTGGAGGTGCAAAGGGAGGCGCCAAGGGAGGCGCAAAGGGAGGCAAGCCTTCCGGCTTGTCGTCTGCCTCGCGCGTCAGCAAATCGGCCAAGAAAGATGGTCCCAAGCGTCCCCCGCCCAAGGAACAGAAGACCAAGCCCCGGACAGCCAACGAAAACTTGAAGAAAAAGAAGAAGAGAGTATACACTGAGAAGGAGCTGGATCTGCCTGAGTTGAACCAAATCACACCTGTTGGAGTGATCAAGCCCAAGGGCAAGAAGAAGGGCAAGACTTTTGTCGATGATGCAGTACGTTTTGCCTCCCATGTTCTGTTATATTGATTACACTTTACGGAAGTCTGGTACTAATACTATCACCGACAGGAGGGCATGATGACAATTCTCGCCATGGTGAACGCCGAGAAGGAAGGCCAGATCGAGTCCAAGATGATGAAGGCACGTCAATTAGAAGAGATCCGCGAGGCAAAGAGGGCCGAGGCCGAGGCCCGCATGAAGGAAAGGAAGAACAAGTTCGACGACGTCAAGGATTCCATCCGTCAAAAGAAGAAGGGCAAGGGTGGTGACAAGGCCGCGGAACCCACGAGTATCAAGGATAGCATCTCTAAGCCCGGGCGATCAAAGAAGAAGACCGTTGCATTTGCTTGAAAAAAAAAGTCTGAAGATTTGTGTCTATACTTTGATTATGTATTTAGATGTCGGGGTTCGGCGTTTTCACCGGTTTATCAATCTATGTCTATCGGAACAGAAACATCATTTATGCAAAGAAATCCCGGAAATAAACCGAAAATGGTTCACCCATTGTAAACCATGAATACCTCGCTTTCAAACATGATGGTTGTAGCAGTTGGTTGGGAGGGCGGAATGGTTGAGGGGCAGATTACAGCCCCAAAGGTAGTGCGAGCTTGCGGCGCATCGAGACGAATTCGGGCTTAGGTGCCAGGTCGGGCTTTTTGTTGGCGCCAGTGTGGCTGGCAATGTTTCCAGGGAGTCTTTCAGGGTGTTCGACAACACCAGGGATATTAGTGTCAATTTCCCTTGCCATTTTGTTCAAGAAGTTTGCCACCTGAAGGAAAGGGTTAGCATTTCGATGCCAATGGTTAATTGGGAAATACATACCGGCTTGACAAACCACCTGGATCCACCGAGCTCGAACCAGCCGAGATGGCCACCCCACGATGTAGTCAACATGACCCCATACGGTGTTTGGGTCATTTCCTGGTAGGGCAGAGCCTCTCGGCAAGCAATCTAGCAAAGTCAGCGATGTGCTCACGGTTGAGAGGGAAGATTTTCATAACTTACAGGATCATCCTCTGCTTGAATGCTAAGGAAAGGAATCCTGATAGCGAGCATAGAATCGGTGGAAGTGGCATCACGGTAATACGCTCCCTCGGTGGGGTAGCCCCATGTCGGGCATTGCAGAGCTCTGTTACATATTAGAGTCGTATTCTTTTGGGGTGCAGAACGAATTATTCTTACCGGTCGAACTCATGGAGGTAGGTAATCTTTCTTATGGCATCAACATCGATGCGAGGGTTTGTAGACACCTGATCAACATGTCTGTTTCAATGGTTAGTTAACTTTTCACTTTAGCCGAACAGATAGGTACTCACGCCTCAAAGAGCTTCTTCATACTTGTCCCCATAGTTCTACTGTACACCTCCTTGCCAAGCCAGGTGCTTTGCAAAACCATAGAACTAACATCCAAGTTCCATGGGCTGGCACAAATCACAGCTGCCTTCAATTGGCAGGCGTCACCTTCCTCTCCCAGATACTACACAGTTTGTCAGTGGGGGATGTAGACAGTCCAGAAGGGGGCATACATTAGTGAGGATGTTGGCACCTAGTGAGAAGCCAATCCCAAACAGAGGGCGATTGGGGAACTGCTTCCTGAGCCACTTCACAGACTGACGAACATCCCAGGTAGCTCGGGCGTTGTAGAGAACACCGGTACTGATGTTTGTCTCCGCACATCCTCTCGAGTTGACAACACATGCTTCCCAAGCGCCGTCTTTGACAAGCGGCGCTAGGACTTCCCGCAAGTATATTTCGTGGGAGCCACCACTCAGACCGTGAAGAAGCACAAGCATGGGCTTGGTGTCATCGGAGGGCAACGCAGCAAATTCATCCTGAGAGAAGAACGATGTGCGCGGCGGCATACCAGACTTTTGGGTATACTTCCTCGCTTGATCAAGAAGCTCTGGGTCCTGAGGAATCTCGTACGGTGCGACCACGAAATCCATGGCATAGTGACCCGTGAATGCGGGGGTTTCCGACTCGAACATTTTACGTTTGTAGTAAATAGGAACCTCGTCGTATTTCAGAGTTGTCCAACATGTCTGTAGGTGCCCATTGAACAAGAAAGGGTTTAAGTTGCATGTTTCTGGTGTTGCAGACCGACAGACATCCACCAGGGTAGTTTGCTCTTTAGCGCCTGTGGCGCCGGGAACTTTGGTCAATGTCAACTTATTGTCCTTGGCGTGATAGAAAGCTATGCGACCCTTGGGACGAAGCCATGAAACCAGACCCATGGCGATCAGCCCAGATAAGAGGACTGATAGGGGGATTGAATTCAGAAGCGTTGAGATGATGTCGAGCATGAGGGGTTATCTAAACTAAAGAATGCTGAAATCGAGTAAATGGACAAATCGATATCCCAATGAAGGTCGTTCAACTCTTATATGCACTTGAGAAAGAAGAAAACAGGCTTGAAAAGCAAAAAGCAAAAATGCAAAATACTGGATCCAAGGATCCAAGATAACAATCTCGATATCAGAAACAGACCTCGGCAAAAAAAAAAAAAGTTATGTTTAGATTTTCCAGGCCCCCGATCCTCTGCCCATGGTTCAATATGACTAAGCTTATTTTATCCTTTTGCGCGTGATCCACAGAGTTATGCATAGCATGTCAGGTGATCTGAGTTTAAGGTTGGCTTAGTCAGCAACATGAGGGGCTCCAGCTGCACTGGCACACCTGATAACGTGCGGGCGTTTTTGTCACACGCCAGAAGTCAGTTGACGATGCCATAGCGCATACAAGGCCTGAGCTCAGATTTGATGCAGGAAGCACACCTTATCTAGTGCAGGTGGGAAAAATCGGGGGCATTCCACCGAATATGAAGTGATGATGATATGATGCCCAATGCGGTAATCTGATTTCCGCATGCGGAAGCCCTAAACTCACTTCCGGCGTAAAGCACAGGGAGAAATCCCCATGTCTTCCGACAATAGCAATGTCCTTCTTAAAATTGACCAAGATAAATGTAGGGTTAAAATGTTGAAGTATCCGGTGTTCTGCATATGGATCATCAGACAAAGAACGGACTGAGCCACTTCTTCTTTATATGTAATGCTGATAGCATTAACACCCATCTGTTTGTGACCCAGTCCCATGGTCCGTTTCCGGGAACCTTTATCTTCTAGCAGACTATTTCAAGGTCAAAGGATCCATGCCCTTCTTTCTTTTTCCTTTGAATGTGATGCAACACTGTTCGTCACACGATGCGTTTGATCTCTACTACAACATGATAGTAACAGTCGAAACGCCATTATCCATATTGTTGATTCATAAATCTCTCATGAGGCCTAGTCATCAAACATCTTTGAACGACCTTAGATACAAGCACCCATGACTTTAATAAGAAAGTCCTCGTCCGACATGTCCGATCGTCTACACCGCGCCACAGATAAGTTTAAGACTATGATCAAAATGAGATCTTGGTCCCAGAAACGAGCGAGAGAGCAACAGGAGGATGGCCGAGGCCGTTGCTACCTAATGGAATTACCAACCGAGCTGCTACTGGAGATAATATCCCATCTGACAGTGCTGCCGGAGGCTGCGCTTGCGCTGACCAACAAGCGCATGTTCGCAATATCCGGAGAGATCCTGTTCTCGAAATCCCTCCGGTTCAGTCGTGACTTTGCCCCACTGTTCCACCATTACCGCAATGGACACAACTTCGTCACTCCCCGGTGGTCTTTCCTCAACTTGTTGGAAAACTCCCGCTGGAAACTATGCTCCAAGTGTTTGAAACTCCACCCTAGAGCCGCATTCTCATCCAGAGAGCTGAGGCGGAAGCCAGAGAATCGAACATGCAAGATTGGAGAGTTAGCAGGGGTTGTCGACCTGTGCCCATGCAAGAAATTAACCTTCCGCGATAAACTCGATCTTGCGGACCATGTTCGAGTGCGGCAGGTGGCACTGCAACCATTGAAATCACACTTCGGGAATGCCGTTGACGACCGCTATTGCTGGCATACATGCACCGAACAGTATGGCCCAACAGAACTGAAGACATCTCTATTCCCAGAAATCAATGCCGACAACCAGTTGATTCTTCGCACGGAATACGAACTCACCACGGAGTTGGGCCAAGTTGGAAAGGAAGATTATATGACACCACGCTTCGGATGTGCACATAGATCAGTCGACCTGTGGCTCTCGAGCGTTCACCAAACCACTATATGTCGCCTCTTCGACTCTTCCTGTTCATCCTGCAAGCGTATATCAGTATGCAGTGCGTGTGACACAACGTTGATATGTCCAAGAAAATCACCATTCCACTCTGAAAAATCTGGCAGAGCGACATATTCATTCTGGACCCAAAGAAGCCTTGGAGGGACGGGTCCAGCTCCTGATCCGGCTTGGGGAGCACAAAGAATCCATCCGGCCGAACCTTCAGTCAGTGTTGAAAACTGCAACGAGTTGTGTCCTTGGACAGTGCGCGAACATCCAGCGCTCTCATTCGCGCCAAGTATAGAACAGGAAATTATCGATTCTGGGATAGGTAACTCACCCATCAACCAACTTTACACATACATCAACATGGTTTAACAGATTTGTTCAGCTGCAAGAGAGGCCTTGGGGGCTTTGGCAAGATCATAAGGAGTTGGTGGACCAATTTGGTGTTCATTTCTTCTCTCCTTTACGAATTTTCTCAGTATATATTTGTATAGTGAGTGTTGTTTCCGCGTTAGATTTGTCTTTGTTAGCATTAGGTATCTAGGCATGTTATCAAATAATTCAATAATTCAGACAAAAAGTGACGGCCACCTTGGTGGCTCTTGATTTGACATCTTTTGTGAGATCCTTCGTTAAAGTCCTTTGTATATATTATATTCTTCGTTGTCTCATTCAAGTGCTTCATTGGTCGAAAATACAGCCCAAAACAAAATCGTAATCTATCAAAGACGACTCTTCCATATCTTTTGAGATGTGACTATGTAACTAGTTAACTAACTATAACTAAACAGGTACCTCGATGGAGGAGAGTCGCGTAATCGCAACATCCCTTATCAGCTGACCGCCCTGGGGTTTCTCCGGACCGACACGAAGATCCACGCTCACCATCTCGCGCGTTCGACTTCATACTCGATTTATACGAGTATTGTCTGTTTCTCGGGGCGATGAGCTTCCCACCACCTGGTCCCGGCCAATACCCGCATTATCTACCGCCGCCGCAGTATCAACACGGGCAAATCCCCCCGCAGATACTGTACAATAATGCCGCTCCTCCGCCCCCATACGATAGCTATGGCAAGCCAGCAATGTATCCTTCGGCTATGACACCATATTCATACCCATCGACATATACTCCACAGCCACAGCCACAGCCACAGCAACAGCAACAGCAACAGCAACAACAGCAGCAGCAGCAGCAGCAGCAAACGCGTCCTCCGCCGCAAACCCCCCCGCAGCAGCCGCTCCATTTACCACCACAGGCTCTCCAACCGCGGCCACAACCAGGGCAACAGCCAGGACCACAACTCCTCCCTCAACTACAATCCCCCCCTCCACCTCAGCCTCCTCCCCCACCTCCGCCTCCGCCTCAAATCCAACATGAAGAGCTTCAACATCAGTTTGTCAATCCGGCTCAATTATTTGTACAACAACCTCTGCCTACTGCTCCGCGATCCCGATACACCCAACTCTCTCCTCAGTATGGCGAACCGCCTTTCGTCCCAAGTGCTAGTCCTTCCCAAATACCACCGGCTGCTTTGCCACCTCCGCCGGTCATGCCTGTTCATGTTGCTCCTGTCCCGTCTCCTATTACTCCCAAACCAAACACCCAAAACAAGCAAGGAAAACCCAATATCCATACACCGCAAGCACAACCTATCATTAAAGTGGGACCCACACCAGCAAAGACCTCCCCCAAAATAGAGCTCCAGAAAAAACCTTCTACACCTATTGCGACGCCGAAACGACCCCAGCCTGATCCATCGCCGGCGACACATGCTACTCCGCAGGTCATGATCCCTGCCCCTTCTCCAGTCGTTCAAGCAAGAATTCACGCCCAAACTCCGAAGAAGCAACTTCAACCGCAGCATATTGAAAAGAAGAGACAGCCGAGTCAGCCAAATGTCGAAAAGCATGGGAAGCCCACACCTGCCAAGTCTACAAAGCCTCCGGTCGACTATCAGGTTCTGCTGTTGTCCCTGGCCGATGAATATCTAAATGCTGCTCATGCGCGTGGAACAACGACCTCATTGACCGCTCGTGAGACGGATGTCGAGGAATATTACAAGCTGGTTGCTACCGGATTGGGCTGTTTGGAGGCTGTCTTGAAGGTTGGTGAACTTCTCTATTGGAGAAAATTCTGCGCCCGTGCTAAACCAATGATATGATAGAACTGGCGATTGCAACCTCGCAAAGAAGCCCTTGTTAGACTTCGCTATGCCCGTACATTGTTCGAGGAAACAGACAATGATATCGAAGCGGAAACAGCATTGAGTAAAGGAGTGTGTATTTGTTCCCCTTATCTTTTCCGGAAACAGCCACTAACTTGACGCAGATCGATCTTTGTGAACGAGTTAGTCAACCGAATCTTGATAGCGAATTTGTTTTGATCTGACTGTTATAGAACCGTATGCTTGACTTGAAATACAGCATGCAGCACCTCTTGGCACGAATGCTCCACAAGAGTAACCCCAAAGCTTCCTTGAAAGCGGTCGATGGGATGATTCAGGACGTAGAAGCGTATGTGCCATTTCACTCTCTTTAACCACAGGATGCTAATAACTATAGGTACCGTCATGCCGCATGGGAGTACGCATTTCGTTTTCTTCGAGTATCACTCTCGTTGTCATCTCCGTCACACCAAGACTCCGTGCAAGCGTTACAGCATCTTCACAAAATCACGGCTATGGCTAGCCGTAACGGGGATAAGGCTGTTTCAGCAATGGCGGCTGTCATTGAATCGCTTGCACATTTGCAGCAAGCGACAAATTCCGATTCTATCGAGCAGGCACAGCGCGCCGTGGCCGCCGCGCGAAGTCATCAGCTGAATGATGAACTTCGCCATATACCCCAACTTACAACCTTGATTCAAATGGTCGATATCTGCTGCAGTCTTCTAGAGTACGACGCCAACCAGTCTGGACAGAAGCTGAAGGTCATGCAGGCTTTGATGGACGAAACATTGAGCGACAGCAACTGGCGTCCCGATGGATCCTTTTCGGTCCCTCTCAACGGTAAATCTGCCGGGCCGTCATCCATCGACACAGGTGACATCTTGCAGGTTCATAATGGGACATTGCTACTAAGTTTCAACTGGCTTCCTCAGCACGATCTTTATGCGCTTTGCTATTTCTTAAGCTCAATCACGCTTACTGCCAAGAACTCATATGACGGCCGGAAAGCAGAGAAATATCTTGAGGAAGGGCTTCGAATGGTTCAAGGCAATTTCAAGGCCCCCCAAGAAATTTCAGAATCCATGGTCAATGCCAACCGTCGGGTTCAGTGGCGTCAGTCCCTTTACTGCAACCTTCTCCTCCAACGAGTCTTCCTAGCCTGCGCTCGAACCGATTGGGATCTTGCCAGCCAGACCCTGAATGACCTTCGACAAGTCTTCCAAGAGCTTGGTTCCAACCTCCCGGACACCATCGAATGTCTGATGGAATATGCCGCTGGCACCATCGCACAGGCAACTGGCGATCTCAAAGCCGCGCTGAACATATTCCAATCACCGATTCTGTCACTGGACCCCGTTACAAGCAAGACAGGCCGCAATGACCCCTGTCGCGATACGCGCATCCTCGGCGGTCTCAATACAGTCCTTATCCTCCGTGACCCAAGTCACCCATCGCACTCATTGCTCAGCGCCGTTCTAGCAACCCTCGAACCATTCTGCCAAAGCAGCCCAAACAAGTACATACAAGCTGCCTACTACCTAGTCTGCGCAACCGTTCACTCCGAGTCAACCATTCAAACAAAACAGTACCTCCAGCAAGCCCTGCAGTCTGCCACCGCAATCAGCAACAGCCAAATCACCTGCATGACCCTAACATTCATGAGCTGGAAGTACTTCCGCGGCGTGGTCGGCGAGCAAGCCGAGAAAAGCGCTCGCGCCGGCCGTGCAATGGCTAAACGAGCTAATGACCGTATGTGGGCGAGCGTCACTGACGACATGCTGGCTGAGACTCTCGAGCGACAGGGCAAGGGCGAGGAAGCGCAGAGTGTCCGCGAAGAAGGTCAACGCTTGGTCTCGGGTCTTCCACTGCGTCTGAGACGTTCGGCCTGATTGGCTTTTGTCTATTGTTATAACATGATATACCTTTTCTTTTCTTTTCTTTTTTGTTAACGTCTTTCCCTTGGCGTTTGTTTCAAAAATGTTCTTAGGGAGGCGCTCGTTTACGATACCATTTGATGGCTACTAGGGAAGGCGTTTGATATTTTATGGATGCGAGCTGGTAAATGATGTCATTGGCGAATCACGAAATACCTTTTCGATGCCCTAAGCACAGCAGTTTGTCCAGTGACACGTAGGAATTGTTGACTTGAAAACTGATAGGATTCAGCTCAGGGCGTGTCTAACACACCACCCTAGGAAGATCATGAATTGCTTCGCTCCCTATAAAAAAAGAACATGAACACCTGACATCCATGCGTAATGTACAAACACTATGGTATAAACCAGCCTGCTGTCCACAGACACAAGCTCCACCAGCTACCGCTAGATGAAACGTCGAAAAGAACACCAAGGACAACAGCACCGCCCAAGTCAACTCCATACCCACAATACGCCAGCAATGTCCGCTGAGGCATCTCTCCTCATCCATCCACAGACGAAGAAAAGACCACCCTCATACCGCGAAATTAATATTAAAGCCGCAAAAATCGAAACACTCTATAACAAAACAACTCAACCAAGCCCAGCCCAAACACCGCGAATTCTCCGCGCAAGCTGGATATCCTTCTGCATAATAGTAACGCGCTTCGCGTGCAGCGCGCAGAGATTCGTATCCTCGAATAGATGAACAAGGAAAGCTTCAGCGGCTTCTTGCAGAGCTTGAATAGCATGTGACTGCCAGCGCAACTCGGCGCCGACGTCCGCAGGGAGGAGATCGAGCGCAACTTCGCGGACTAAGCGCGCGAAGGGTAGTTTGGCGATGAGGAGGTCGTAGGAGCGTTGGTAGCGGCGGATTTCTTTCAATGCGACAGTGCCGGGCTTGTAGCGGCGGCGGCGGCCAGTGGGGGTTGGGTCTCCGGCTAGGGGGTTGTTAGAATGGGGGTTTAAATAGGAATTGCGCAAGTAGAGTAGTCTAAGGCGCTCATTGTGGTGGTGGTGGGAGAAGGGTAGAACGTACGTTGGACGTTGGTGTTGGTCTTTGCGACTGTTGATTGCTTTCCTCCCTTCGTTTTGCGTGCTTTGGTTGGTGTTCCATCTCCATCGGCGGCGGGCGCGGCGGCTGTCTTGCGCACTTTGCTTTTTTGTGTGCTGCCCGGTGCTGTCTTTCGGGCCATTTTAGGTGGCATTGTGGTAGAGAAATGCGCTGGCTTTTTTTTGGGGGTAGTGGGGTCTTGGAAAGCGATCAATTGAGAGGTTTATCGCCTAGCAACCAGCGTCATGCAAATTGCCGCGTTTGTGTCGAGATTGTCCCTTGCAGGAACTGTGTCCGAGTATCGAGGAGGTTCAGGCTTGCACACGAGATTCAACCGAAGGGATTGGGATTGAAATCCTCTCTGCTAATAATTAGACAGTCCTTTGTTGCGAAGGGAAGGCTGGGCGAGCTGTCAATATGAACTATTCGGGCTTTAGCGTCCCAGCCCCCGTGATTCTCACGTAAACACGCGTCTCGTGTCTGGGCACGTGACGATAAACTGGCCTACCTGGTCTTATCTCCGTCATACGTTGAATATACCCCGGAGGCACTCTGGAGAGCTCTCAGTGCTCGTGCTGATCATCCGCCCTGACTCCCGCTTCTCTCTGAACCCCGTCTCCATTGAAATTTACAACACCCCCACATCATGGCCGCTCTTTGGGAGAACAATGGGCAACCAGGCCAGTTTCCCCTCGAACAATGGTTCTATGAGATGCCACCGGTCACCCGGTGGTGGACTGTAGCAACTGTCGCAACGTCAGTCTTGGTGCAATGTCATATCGTGACCCCATTCCAGCTGTTCTACAGCTTCCGCTCTGTCTACGTTAAATCGCAGTACTGGCGACTCCTCACGACATTCCTCTATTTCGGACCCCTCAATCTCGACTTATTATTCCATGTTTTCTTCCTGCAGCGCTACTCACGGCTTTTGGAAGAAACATCCGGCCGCTCCCCGGCCCACTTTGCATGGTTGATCTTCTACGCCATGACATCTCTCCTCATCATCTCACCTTTCCTCTCAATACCCTTCCTGGGAAGCGCGCTTTCATCCAGCCTGGTCTACATCTGGGCCCGGCGCAACCCAGACACCCGGCTCAGCTTGTTGGGGCTGCTGGTCTTCACCGCTCCGTATCTACCCTGGGTGCTGATGGGATTCAGTGTGATTGTGCATAAGATCGTGCCGAAGGATGAAATGCTCGGCGTTGTTGTCGGTCATATCTGGTACTTCTTCAACGATGTTTACCCGCCCCTGCATGATGGCCACCGTCCATTTGACCCGCCTCGTTGGTGGGTCCGTCTGTTTGAGCCTGCACCTAGGCCAAGCGAGCGTACGACGGGCGCGGCCGTGAACCGCGAGTTTGCTGCGGCGGCGGCGCCTGAGGTTCGATGAGCCATATCTTTTTTATTGCTCGAGTGTCAGTTTTCCGGAATGGAATCTAATCTCGAGGTTCCTTGTGGCATCGAACGGAAATTGAAACCAGACCGCATTCGAATGATAGATCTCGCTGGTATAGTTAGAGTCAATAGTGCAATGGGTCCGATTAAAGCCTTGTCTCTGCTCAAGGCTAGCTTTGAGCCACTGCCTTGCAAAGGAAGGTGCAAAACTGGACACCAGCGAGTATCTTGGCGCTTTTCATCTAAATCACGTCGGATGAGAGCATTCGACATTATTCGGCGAGCTTTGCATGAGATACTGGGTGAAAAGCGAAACAGGCCACATTAGAGCTGTGTCAAAAGTGGTATGACGGAGACTAGCAAGGGGTCTGGAGCAGCTCCCTTTTATCTGATGATGTTGGGAGGTTGCCCCTTGGCACAGTCTCCATGTGATCCATCTAAAAGAAGCAAGGACTGGGACTTTGTTTCCGTTTGTGTTTACAAGAGCGTGCATATGTGTTTACATTGGAATAGCCATAGATACCCGAATTATTTTTTCTTTTTATTTCTATACCACTTAGAGCTGCATGCAGACGCAGACCTTAAGATGACGACATGTATCAAACGCTCGCTATGACCTTCAACCCCAAGTACAACAGCATTTGACTTCGCTCTGTCACTCGAAGTAATAAACTCAAACGCATCAACCCCTGTTTGTTTACGTTCACATGCGTTAAAGTAAAATAAAGTAAATCAACACCGTGTGGTTGCATGCATTACCAGCCACTATCAAAATACCTTACAGGAAACAGCCATGGCGCATGATGATACTATGTTTGGACATGCCATGTTAAGTACAGGGCTGTACCCTCGATCTTGCATACGCATAGGTAGTCTCAACAGATAGGCAGCAGAATACAATGTAAATATGCAGTCAGCCTAGTCATCTCACATTATGTTGAGTACTCAATTATTATTAGAAATGGCTGTTGTGAGACGATCTAGAGAACGTCAGATCAAGTCTGGAATGAGACAACAAGATAATGGGAAATCGTACGTCGTACTCGTACGTTTTACGGCACCCAGCGCCCCATGCATTTCAAGCCTTGGCTCCATATTTCAGTACAAACCAATATGGTGATATGCAGCGCTTTTAATTAGGGGCCCGGGCACTACCTGCCTAGCTAAGTAATGCTTGCGAATTCCCCGTAAATATCTGTATGGTTCATAATTGCTACGAATGTCTCACCTTGATAACCAATGCATCTATACGGAGTGGTTAAGTAGATAATCATAGAGTATGGACATGTGTTAGGCGCGCAATGCCAGTTAATATCGGATTTGTACTAATGAGGAATTCGTCGCTAGCACCCACATCCCGCTAATAAACATGGCACGGCAGGCGATCGACGCAATGCTTGTACTTTACAATCACAGCGGGTATTAGAAGCGAGCTAGCCGATTGAAATTAAAGAATCACCCATGTCACATCTTATAATGGAAACCCGGAGAAGGTGGTATATGACGAGTGATAGGCAACAGAGTTAAAACCGAATTGAGATACGTGGTGAACCGTGGGTTATTGGTGGGTTCTCTGAGTGGATGGGACCTTTTTTGTACGGAGTACCGCAGAGGTCAATGGAGGGTCTAGTGGGGGTGACAGTTCCCATGGGAATGGGTTATGTACATATCATAACTAGTTGATTCCACTTGTGCATTAAAATATATCTGAAGGGTTTCATTGGCTGGAAATATCCCAAGGTTGCACTTCTCCATATCCATGCCATACACATGGATCCATAAGAAAAATACAATCTTCAAGTATTAAGTACGAATACGATCGAGGCCAATAATGAGGGTAATGGAGACCTCTGATCGCACCGTGCACGCGCCCGTGCTGTGGCATACAGTGGCGGTTCACTTGGCAAATCGGTGCCAATTCCTACCTCTCGTGCTGGCAATAACCTTGGCCGAGTCTGTGGCCAAGCCATCCAAGGCTTGGTTCTTTCTTTTTACGCGTGGGATTGGATTCATATAAATTATACCTTGTCACTTATAGTGTCATAGCGAAATTACTCTTATCAATGGCCTACGTGTGCAGTTCACGCCACAATCGTGGCGGTAGCAAAAATACATGTGCAACCTACAATGTGTATTGTTGTACACAAAGCACGGAACACTGAAGATGTACAATCAAGTACAAAATAGTATCATTATAGCTAAACCTTTCGTGCTCCGTTATCCAACGAGTAAGACCTACCTAAGTAATAAACCTTGGGACTAGTAGATGCAAACCTACCACTAGCCTCCCGTTGAGAAAGGTACGGTGGAGTATACGCCTGAATAGGACTAGTTCAATACACCGTTCTCACGTTGGCGTGGGGATTTTTCCCCACGGCAGTATATTTACAATACGATGACGAGTCCTTGCGCCAAACTTAGATTATTTTAGGCGATGGTAAGAGTTGTACAATGATAGATAGTTCTAATATGGCTATATATTATATACGTAGTTTCTGTCATATCGTATGGATAACAATTCAAGATGTGATCTTAGTATTGCTGCATTTAAGCCAGCACTCATCACTACATCCATACAAGATTGGCTTTTCTGTTGAAAAAAGAACAAAGGTTAAAAAATTCCCCTTTGTCGCCCCACTGTACACCCACCAATCAGAACATGGATGGGCCGCCTAATCTTGGAACCACAGCCACCCCTCTGTACTCAGCCTCCGTAAAATGTTCTCAACCTTTTTGCAAGATTGTCGTATTCTCTTTACTTCTTCGTCACTTTCCCTTTTTTAAATTTTTTTTTTTTGCCTCAGGATTCCCATTTTTTAAACGCTCCCCGAGGTCTCTCCTTTCCTTCTTTAGCTTTAGTCTCCCCACTCCCGTCACTCCTTATTATCGTGAAATAGTCTCCCCTTTTTCTTTAAATACTCTTTTCTCATTCCTTTTATCATTACCAGATTCTTATGACCGCATTTTCGTACAGCTTTGACTACATATCAAACGGCCTGAGGGTCTGAACACTCCTAACACGACTTTACGACATAAATACGAATTGTTGGGGTTCAATTGGTTATCACGCTTCTCCTACCTAACTAAACCTTCGTGTCTTTCGCCTCCGCCTTCATCATGCGGCGCGGCCTCTTGATCTTCCTCCTCGTCAATCTCATCATTCTCTCATTGCTTGTCCGCAGTGTCTCCACGCTTCTGGCACTACTGGTCGAAGATGCCGCCGCCGACGCTATCCACCGCGCGGAGCTGCCCTCGCCAAATTCGAGCCTGATCGAGCAACGACCCCAGATCATTCCGAAGATCATCCACCAAACATACAAGAATGAGACCATTCCAGAGGTCTGGGTAGAGGCTCAACAGAGTTGCATTGACCTACACCCGGATTATGAATATATTGTATGTCCATGGCCCCCCACCGGATCTGTTCAATTCATGGTTTCTAACATGTGCCTCTAGCTATGGACAAATGAGAAATCGCGAGACTTCATCGCCGCCGAATACCCTTGGTTCCTGGACACCTTTGATGGTTACAGCTATCCTATTCAACGCGCGGATTCTATTCGATACTTCGTTCTCGCGCACTTCGGTGGAACGTACATTGACCTCGACGACGTGAGTATACCCTCCGAGAGACCATTGTGTGTTGTTTCTAACATCAATTAGGGCTGCAACCGTCGCTTGGATCCCCTCCTAGCTTATCCCGCCTGGGTACGCCGTACCGCACCCACCGGTATCTCCAATGACGCTATGGGCTCAGTACCACAGCATCCATTCTTCCTCCGTACGATCGAAGTGCTGCAACAGTACGACCGCCACTGGCTCCTCCCATACATCACCGTTATGTACTCGACCGGACCGCTGTTCCTCTCTGTCATCTGGAAAGAGTACATGCGCGATGGGCCGAGTGAGGCTGGGCGCGTGCGCATTCTCATGCAGGACGAGTACAACAAGTTCTCCTGGAGCTTCTTCACCCACCACCGGGGTAACAGCTGGCACGGCAAGGATGCGCACTTGATCTTCTGGGTAAGTGAACTAGCGTCTGGTCTCAAAATCCTGAACAATGCTAATGTCTCGCAGATGGGTCAACATTGGGTCTTCCTCACAGTCTGCGGCTTCCTCCTCGCCGGAGTCGTTGGATTCTGCCTCTGGTGGAGCTATGGACGTGTCATGCTCCTGGGAGCCAAGTACCGCTACCGCTACACTAAAGTGCCCAGCCTCATCAACCCGTCGCGACTTTCCACATCACCAACGCGACGCTCGCGACTCTCAGTCCCGACAATCCTGCGACGCGTCAGCTTCAAAGAAGACGAAGAGGCAGGCGGGGTCACAGAGACCTCGTACGAGCTTGGACGTCGCGACGACTAGAGATCTAGAGATTGACTTCTCGACTCGCAACTTCGCCATTTGACAGCTTGTGTATTTGTCTGTAACGATACCGCCTCGGACATGATCTCTGCATCTGCATTTATTGTACAACTTTTGCTCTTTCTTTCTGTGTTTAGGAGCGCATTATGCATGGTGTCTCAATCCTGTGACGGGATCCGGGATTGAATGTTCACCTGGAGCAATTGGGTTTGCTTTTGGACATGTGCACAGACACCCCCAGTGTTTCTGTCTTGATTCTGTTTCACTGTCCCCCATTTTTTTATTATTATTATTTTGTCTATTGATTTGTAAACAAGTTAGATTTCGCTTCTCGGGAGACAGTGAAATTATATGAACATGTCTCTATGCATTCGGATCAGATATCTCCGGGGAGAATTACGAATCAATAACGGTCTTTCGACTATGACAATAAAATTCAGTATACAACATACAGAATCAGATTCATAGTCCGTGTCACTATGTCTTAAAACCCCCTGGAAATCTGATACCAATCTCAAAACACCAATCCTGAAACCCTAATTTTCCCCTCCAATGATAACACCGTGCCTTGCACCAACACATCGACAAGCTTTCCGACTCGTCCTATCAAGTCTACGGCTTTGGTCTTTTTTAAAAATAGTATACTACGTAACATGTTCTTTTGTTTGAAGTAAATAGTTCAGTTGGTGTTCTTCCTTGATATTGGCCACCGTCATCTAACATACTTCAACCCACTAACATTCTCCGCGTCTAGCCTACAATGCACATACTAACGGGGATATCTTACCTCCGCCTCCCATTTGCATATCCCAGCTGCCTTGGACAATGCAAGCCCTCCTTTCATGTCCCTTCTGCCTCTGACAGACATGTTCGAGGACTTATAAAGATGATCCCCCGCGCTGCTCTTTACTTCTATACTATCCATCTATAACAACCATCCTTTCATATTTGACTTTCAACTTTTGATTCTTACTTGATATAGTTACCCATTAACTTATCATCCATCCTGTTTCCTCTACCTCAGTCCAAAATCAACAAAATGAACCTCCAAACCCTCCTTCTCTGCCTAACCCTAACCCTCACAATCCAAACAACCGCAACACCCCTCCCATCCCTCTTCGTCCGCGACACAGCCCTAACAGAATCCCAACTCATCACCATTGCCCCTACATCCGAATCCTGCAAAGACGCCCCAGCAGAAGGCGAATGCGCAACAGCAAAACAAGCAGCAAAATTCACCTCCCAATCTTTCGATAAATACAAAGTCACTTCGAAAGCAGAGCAAGCTGCTATCATCAGTCTGATGGCGTTTGAAAGTGATGATTTCAAATATAATAAGAATCATTTTCCTGGCGTTGCTGGGCAGGGCAGTAAGTTTACCTTAACCAACCCCAACCCTAACTCTTCACAACATCCATATTCCATCTTCCATCTTCTATACTATAAACACCCATATACTAACCGTATTATCCTTCCAGCACGAAACATGCAATCCCCATCCTTCAATAAAAAATACGCCTCCTCCCTACCCGACCTAGAAGATAAACTCCCTGCCGTCAGCAACAGTCCCGCAGATCTACTCGATCTCCTGCGCAGCGACGGTGCGACGGACTTTGGTTCTGGGGCTTGGTTCCTTACTACGCAGTGTTCGAAGGAGGTGCGGAGTGCGCTTGCTGATGGATCGGAGACTGGCTGGCAGAGGTTTATCTCGGATTGTGTGGGGACTTCTGTTACGGATGAGAGGAAGGTGTATTGGGAGAGGGCTGTTAAGGCTATTGGTGTTTAGATTGTGGATTATTTGGGTTCTATGATTATTGTTTTTCAGTTTGATTTGCTCTTGTGATCTCGGAGCTGGTTCTTCGCTGTTGGTGTTGAGTACTGTGTTTGCGGGGTGGAATATTTGATATTGATGATTGATGGATTATGGTACAGGAATATAGTATACAATAAAAATGAAGTTTTATCCAAAGCTCCAACCTCATTACATTTGATTTTTCATTTCATTGCCAGCCATACGACTGCACCGCTCTATAATGGGTAATAATACTATGCAATAAGTAAACCACCACGTCGTACTCCGTATATCCATTTCATCTCAATTCATAACACTTTTATCGTTTATATCCAAACACCTTACAAAACACCCTTCGTACTGACAACATCCCCAGCACCAACATCACCCGCAACCCTCCGCTTACAAGCATTGCGAATAGCAACAGCAAGCGCCTTAAACGCACTCTCCGCACGGTGGTGGTCATTATCACCATAAGTGCAACCAACATGCAACGTAACGCCCGCAGCCTGCGCAAAGCTCTGCAATCCATGCGTGATCATCTCAGTGCTCAAGTCGCCGATCTTCTCGCGTTTGAAGCCAAGGTTGATAACAGCCCAAGGCCGGCTGGACAGGTCAATCACGGCCCATGAGAGGGCCTCGTCGAGAGGCGCATCGCCGCGACCGAAGCGCTCCAGCGATTGTCGTGCGCCCAGGGCTAGTGTGAAGGCTTCGCCGAGTGCGAGGAAGGTGTCTTCTGTTGTGTGGTGGTCGTCGACTGGAGGTAGTTAGTATTGGTATTCGCATATTGTAGGTTTGATGGTTTATTCCATGTGTATGGTGAGCAGGGGAACTCACTGTACAAATCACCCTTCGCGCGAACCGCAAGACTCATCCCGCCGTGCTTGGCGAGCGCATGCAGCATGTGGTCTAGGAATCCGATACCGGTGCTGATGGTGATTTGCTGCGTCGGGGTGAATTGGGTCGCATGGCTGGCTTCCTTGGGTGGCACAATGCCTTTCTTGGAGGCTTCGGCTTCTTTTGGGTCTGTTGGGGCGGGGAAGTGGGTTGAGGGTTCGTAGGGTGGGAGGACGCCGCCGTCAAGGGAGAGGGAGATTTGGATTTTGGTCTCGTTGGTCGCTCGGGAGATGGTCGCTGTGCGTGCGGTGAGAGACATTGTGAATTACAGTTTTGGTGTAGGTCGAATTGACAAAATTTGATTGAGTCGGTGTTTTGTACAAAGTAGATGGTTGATAATCGGAGTTCTGTTTTGTCTGACTCGTCCGCTGGATAATCGTTGATCCGTAATTTTGTATCGAGATGATAGCCTTGGAAAGGTATACTTCAGACTTAGGGTTAGTAGGTTTTAAGACACTGGCTGGTCCAGAATTTTATTCTTAACATCCTTGATATTTGATATTGTCTTTTATATTGCCCATTGGCGTCTGAAACAGACATCTTATTGTGTCTTTACTTTGTTTATCGTTTCGCCGAACTCGGCCTCGATAAGAACCGCCATCCATCTATCTCAATTCCTTACCCAAGCTAGACTGGTCCCTCTGGTTCACCAGTAATTACGACTGAATATATACATACCAGAATGCCAGCGCCACACAACCACAGGGGCGATGTTGCACCCCCGGAGGAAATCACCTCGATAGCCGCCCAAGGCTTCATGACCGGCGTGTTCCGGGTAAGCACTGGACCTCCAGTCCAAACCCTAATGCAATCATTAATCTTCTCAAGTTTGGCTCCGTGTCCATCTTGGCCCATATGATTCTTGCCCTGCCCCACCCCTTCGTCTTCTCCGCGCCAAGTCCGCCCGCGTATCCCGCGACACAACCCCGTCCACGCCCGTCCATCTTCTCCCGCGACTATCTCCGCTCACGACTATTCCACCGGCCCCTGGAGGGTTTCTCAAGCTGGATATCCCCCGGATCCCGTGTCTACCGCGGTCTGACGCCGCAGTTCAAGGTCTTCATCCAAGTTGCGGCTATGACTCTGGGTGGTTGTATCTGGCAAGAGAAACGCGTGACGGAATATATCGAGTTGGTGAGACGGATTAAACGCGCGGAGCGAGTTGAGGCTGAAAGGGCGGAGGGGAATCGTCGATAATGACGAGCTTGGAGAGATATCGCCGACTGGATTTTGCAACGACGTGAGCTTAGAGCTTGGACCTTTCCACCACTGGACATCCGCTCTGACGGAATACCTCCAGATGACCCGAATCTCATTTCCCAGTCATTTCCCAACCCCCGCAAGACCTCGCAAAACCGAGGTGAATACTCTGTAGCTGCGTCAGTCGACTACTGATCCCGAATGAACTTCGCCACGATGACGCGGAATCTGGCGTCATTCCCCCCTGATTGCCATGCTGATCTATTATGATCTCGCTTTCGCGTGGGCCCAAGAAATTACCCCTACGGAAGCAGCATCTGGAGTATCGTAAATGCCGATCATCCTTTGGGGGTGGATCCAAAGATTGAACCTATGATGATACTATGTTGTCAATTCTAGTGTAGATCTTATAAGAAAGATGAGCAATTTAGTACATCATCTGGATTATGTAGCTTCTAAAGTTGTTCTGGAGTACAAAGAAAGATCAAGGATCACCGTGATCACCACCGAGATGCCGAAAACGGTTACTAAAGAGGGGTCCAATTTAGTTTCTACTACACTAATCCTTGTAGTCCCAGCTATGGCTGCACTATCAAATCTAGCGGAGCGCCTCTTACGTGCTACTCTTGGACTAAAGATATGCGATAAGTCGTGAACGCATGTCTCAGGTTTTTACTCACTTTTTCTCACTATTAGAGTGTAAAAAGACGGACCTGTGAATTACTCTATCAGATTCTGCAGATACATCAGAGCTATTAACGGACGTAATAACGTCGCAAAGAGGCCGTAAATCTTCTAGAAGATAGCAATGTTTGATATTAAGGGTTGTCAGTGGAGAGGCTCGTAAAATGGCTTTAATTTATTATATAATTATCATTTAGTCCAATCATACCACGTATATAGCTTTCTTGGCCGAAAACCTACTATACTAAACTACACCCAATATCTATATATCACCAAGTACTATAACATAGTTATCTTATGTTTGCTTACGTTTAATTGAATAATAAATTGCTTATACCTTACCTCTATACTATAGTGTGTTTCTGTTTCATTTGCTCGGTCGTATCTGCAATTATGAAAACGGGCATGCTGTACGCGGTGGCGATGTCTGTGTCGGTGGCATCCATGGCCCCCATATGCATCTGTGAAACTTCCGAGCATGACAGTTTGAAGTGTGGTGATGGAGACTGCAGTGTCGATTACAGACTTGAGGTTAGGAACCTTGATAGCATCATCGGCAGCCTTTCTTGGCCAGCTGTGGTACATTTCGCTATAGGGCTGTTGCATTGATTGCAGTGGCCTGGTACTGGATAGGGACAAGGAGCGTCTTCCGGATCTCCCTATGTCTTCTCCCACACAATCCAGTCTTTGAGGATACCGTAATCTTTCTAAAGCGCGTTGTAAAACCCATCTCCATCGCGTATCGTGATGATAATATGTATTCGAGTTGTACTGGGAGTCATCCATGACTAGCGGGTCGGCCACGTCTCGGTGAGAGCTCTTACAGCTCCCCTTTAAGAGCTACTCTGCCTTCGAGGACGTTGAACAAGAGTTTTTCACCAGCCACTCTTTTCTGAGGACTCACTTTTGAACAGTACTTCACCTTTACCATAATAGTTGTAGCAGAAGAATAAACGTCGCGATAATGTGACGATCGGGTAAAGCCAAGGCGAGAAATGCAAATAGTTCATTTTACAGATAAAAGTATACACACCTAGTGTCATTTCGAATTCTATGGGCCTTTATGCGTTGAATATCGTCACGCGTGAGGGAATTGATCACCGAAAGGACAGCAATCAATCAATAGCAAGAAAAAAGTAAAGGGACTTACTCCCGCGAAACACCCTACTTCTTCGCATTGAAGGGCAGAGGCTAGTAGACTCTGAGGGACGTGCAAATATTAGCTCGAATTAAGCTCACAAATTCCCTTTTCGAACAGGGTTTACAAAGTAGTTTTTAACAACTATTTGCTAAGGTCCCCTGTAATGTTTAATTCCTGTTAATTTCGGGCCTATTTTTGCATATTCAGGGCAGCCCTTGAGCAAGGGCAAAAAAGTACTGGCTGTATAGATTCTGTGCACAAAATCATCAACGTTTAAAAGCTACAGCCCGTAGAGAAAAATGGCCTTGAAATTTATTCTAGGCCCAACTTATATTGGCGTTTTTGAACGGCCTTTGCAAATCTATCACAACCGTTACCGCACTTATTGGTGTCTTCGAAATATCACTATCATTTGTCTTCTAGTGATGAACATACCACGTACGAAGGCCAGTTTTCCACATATGATTTTCAGCAATTCCATTCTTTCTTTTATTCCACAATTGATACACAATATCCTACCCTCACTTTCGCTAGTAGCGTTCGACAACGGCAGTACCTAGTGAGGTCCGTGGTTTGAAGTTTAGAGGTAGCTATCTAGAACGACGGAAATATTCTAGTCTAGCTCGAGTTTCCTCGTAAAGAATAAGGATAGGGTCGGTCCAGTATTAGTGCTTAACTTACTAAGCCGACCGAACGAGCAGAGGTACCGAGAAAAGCTAGGATAAATAGCTAAGGTAAGGATCCGTAGTCACAGACAACAAGGTTATCAAAGTCAATTTGAGTGAGCGTTGGTGATAAAGAGAGACTTAGAACGCTGAGACAGAGGGGGGGAAAGGCATCTTATAGGCGCCCGGCTAGGCGAGATGAAAAGAGAGGCCTGGATAGGGCTGCAAAGGGGAGCCATTTTCGGCGTCGTTTTGGTTATAGATGGAATCGTAGGGAGTGAGTCGCTGACTAAGAGTATTAGGGTGCAAAATAGAGGGGTATCGGAAAGGGGGGGCGGTCAAGCGCCTTCCAAAGTTACGGGAAAGGCGGTTGTTTCTGGCCATGTTTGGCGTCGTTTACATAGGTCCTCATATTCTAGTAATGCGATTCAAGTTGAAATGTAAGCTAGTTTAACTGTTAAAAGAATATTGAATACATTTGAAGAGAATAGAACATAACGTTGAAATCTCTTTTTTTTTTTTAAAAAAAAAAAGAAATTAAAAAAATACATATAGTCCAAAAAAAAAAACATTGGGGGGGCAAAAAACACAGCTGAAACATCTCCAGTTGATCGTTAGAGTTGGACCTGACTGCATCCGTCCATTCCTCTATTCTTCCTCTTCCTCTCCTTTTCCCTCTCTTTTCTTTTCGAGGGTTATCCCTGTGGATACATTTTGCTGTTTTCGTTTTACGCATTCAATCAGAATTCCTCTTATCTTCCCCTCTAGCAACTGATCTCTTACCGGAAGAGCCTATCAAATCACATTAGAGCATTGATTTGCCTGATTTGCCTGATTTGCCTGATATCACTAATATTGTGGATTCCCTCCCTTCCGCAACCATCACCTCCATCGCATTGTTGACAGGTCCCTGACCGTGTCTGGGGAAAAGATATCCAAGATATAGGGAAGAATTTCCCGGGCTTTAGCAATTGCACGCTAATTGCTTCTCATGGCGCTGTGACAGTCTGCAGTATGTGCTACCTTCCCCTCATTCTTTCTCCGCTCCATTCTTCCTCCTTATCATACATTCAATATTGCCCGTCATGGCTCTTCAAACTGCTAATTGATCGACTAGTACGAACGACGTTGAGGTCGTCGATGAGATAAGCTTCCTTTCTCAGTACACTCGCGCCGCTACTCTTCCAACACCTTACGCAACTCCCCCTGCTTCTGTACCACTAGTTTCCCCCTCACCGAACCAGACATGGCTGAAATCATCGGAAAACGACAACGAAGAAAGAGCCTCAGCGTATTCAGTCCGTCCCTCACAATATCGACCTCCTTCCGGCCTCCACTCCATGACCGAACACCCTCGGACGATACCTTGACCAGAGACAAGAAAACCCGACGGAATTCTGGTTTCTTCGGCCGGTCTCATAGTCCCAACATTGCCTCTGATGGATCGAATAACCGCCGCCCTGGGACAGCAGGCTCCGACACCGGCGGCTGGTCAGCATCCACACCCATAGCGACCACACCTGTTAATGAAATAACACCTCGCCCACGGAGGAAGTCGCTACAGAAAAAGCGA